CAAATGTGTATAATTTCTGAATTGATTTTTGTTTCAGGGTTATGCTAGTCTCATAAAATGAACTGAAAACCCTTTTTCTACTTTCTGAGTGCATTTAAAACTAGCATTAATTTTTCCTCTAATATTGTATAACACTCATCCCTGAAGCCATCAGGGTCAAGTTACATACTTGTAATACTTTACTCTCACACTCACTGTGGCTAAAAAATGCTACCTGTAACAGTTTTTACAAATTACAGGCTTTTCTTTCAGTGCAGACCATGAGATTGATTTGTTCATATCACAGACATGTTATCTACCATCCAGTCAAGCAACCCCACATATGCAGATAACTACTTCAGGGGCTTCAAGGCTGTGCTATTTCAGAATTAGATGGCCAGACTTGCCTCCTGAGGAGACTCTTGCAGGGTGGGTTCAATCTACTAACATTTCTGCTAGAACTATTTGCACCAGGCAGAAATTCTCATCATAGCCACATGGTTCCATCAAGTTGGTTCCTATTCATAGCAACTCTGTATACGGTTTGTTGTTGTTGTTAAGTGCCATCAAGTTGGTTCTGACCCATAGCGAACCTGTATAGGGTTTCCAAGGAGCAGCTGGTGAGCTTGAACCACTGATCTTGCAGTTCAAACTGCTTTGCAGTCTGGAGCATTAACCCACAGTGCTACACCAGGACTGTATACGGTTTATAAATCTTTATGAGAGCAGAAAGTCTCATCTTTAGCCTATGGAGAAGCTGGTGAGCTTGAATTGCCGACCTTGTGGTTAGCAATCCAGTACTTGTCCTATAGTGCCACCGGTGCTCCATCATTGTGTTGTTGTGTGCCATGGAGTCGGTTCCGACTCATAGCGATCCTGTACTGGGTTTCCGAGGCAGTAAATCTGGTGCTCCACCAAAGACGTTGTTTATTGATGTCAAGTGCCATTAAACTGCTTCTGACTTGCAGCAACCATGTATAGGGTTTCTGAGGAGTGGCTGGTGGGTTTGAACTGCTAACCTTGAGTGAACAATCAATATACCACTGCTAAATTTGACATATTCATCTAGGAAGTTCTGTTTTAATGCTGTCTTCACTTCCATCACCAACATTTTATTTCTGTCTTTGGTTATTCCCTGATTTTCAGCAGACACATCAGTAAGTGGTACCAATAAAGACACTGAAAGATGAAGTATCAGCTTCTTGGTTCAAAACTAAAACGCAGGTATTAGTATCATGGAATATCAGTTTCTCTTAGGGTCAAAATTTCATGTTAAATCCCTGACTACCAAGAATCTACTATAAGCAGTGTAGACCTGTGGAGGCTTCTCCCTCATTGTATAGCATCCCTGAGTGCTCATCGTTATCTAGGGGGAAGGCCACCGTTTCCTCAACAAAGGTCATCTTTTCATTCATTTATAGTATTTTTCTCTTTTAAATATTGAGGGACACTGTAACGTATAAAAGCACAACTATAGTGTAAATTAGGACACTCAAAATACATAATCAAAATTATGAAGCTTCAAAACTGTTGAAAATTGCCAGGAAAAGAATTAATTAAAATGTGATCCCTTGAACACTGAAACAATACATGCTACCCAGGGCTTTGAACTAGTTCAAAATGGTTTTGTTATGGCCAACAAAGTGTAAGCATTGCACAGCGATCAAATCTCTGCATACAGGATCTTGGCTCTAGTAGGAAACAGGCAACAGACCCACTCAAATATGATGGCCAACTGTGTCAAACGTGTGTTGGCCACCATCTTTGAACAGGACACCACTCCTTGTTTCCCATTCCTTGTTTTTGTTGTTAAGCGCTGTAGAATCAGTTATGACTCAGAGTGACACTGTATAAGATTTTCTGAGGAGGAGCCGATTGGTTTGAACTGCCGACCTTGTGGTTCAAAATCCAGTGCTGATCCTACAGTGCCACACTAGGAGTCCTCCCTAGTCCTGCTTATGTAAAAATCCCACATCCAAGAGATGGGGTTGCTATGTAAAACATACATTCCATTAGCCATTTAGAACTAGTTCAAAGTGCTGAGACTAACTAATCATGTTTATTTGTTAACTAAAGGACTTTCCTACCAATCCCAACTCTTTTGGACCAGAATGGAGATTGATGTCTCAGGTGCACTGTGACTCTACAGACAACTAAGTTAACCAGGTCACTGAATATTAAGTTATACTACTTTATATAGAAAACTTATTTTAGGCACTTTTTCCTAGCTTTACCTACTTTCATGTGTAAAAATATTTTTCTACCATTGTTTATAGGGCCTTGATCATACCATGAATAAAACTGGAAACCTACGGAAATGATTCAATTGATCACTCTAATCACTGTAGAAAAGATGAAAATGCAATGAAAAACCTGGTCACTAACTCAAAATTTTAATACTGCTAAATCAGCAATTACAAGAGCTTTGGAGAAGCAATTTCGTTCTTTCCTAACGCCTTCAATCAGTGTTAATGTGAATATAAAGCTTTAAGATACCTTATGGGCATGTTTACAAACAGACACCTATTCGCAACTTACTGAATGTTAGGTTCCAAAGGCCAGGTTGTTATTCGAAAATTGGCATTATGTAAAAATTATGATAGCCTAGGCCTAACTAACACTGTGTTTGGAAGTTCACTTTAGCCTACCATACTCAATGCCACAAGAGATGATCTGAACTGAATGAAATCATCTTTGTCTTATGAATTCTGACTGACTCTTGACTGAAGCTTAATATTGAACATTTCAAGGCTTAGTGAAAACTCAATGTATTAAATATTGCTTTATTGTATATAAACATTAGATAAAACACAGTATAAAATCATATTTTATAATAACACATTACAGGTAAACACAATTAACCAGATACAAAATCTTCAAATGATAACTTTTCTGCATATTTAGAACTGTCTGCATTTATAGTTAGTTGATGGCGAGGGGTCATCTAGATCATCAAATGTTCCCAATGTTGGGCTTTGCCATCATAAGAAAGGACTTTGCAATGATGAGGAAGCTGGAGTTGACAAAGAAATAACTTTTTGGAACTATTACTAAGTTTTGTTTGAACAGTGTTTTTCTTTTTCTCTTCAGATATGTCACCATAAGATTTCATGATTTTGTTCATCTCATGTTCTATATTCTTAGTACATCTGACATTTAGGTTCATGCTTCCTAACTCTGATAAAGTGTTATTAAAAGCTGTACAACTTTTAGCTAATTTTTTTTAAAGTAATCCTTTTCAGCTCTTTCGACATTTTGTTCTTCATCTTTCCCATTCCTTTGTGTTTCTAGTTTTTCTTACTTGTTGTTACTGTTATTAAGTGCCATCGACTCAGTTCCTATTCACAGTGACCCCGTCTAGGGTTTCCGAGGAGCAACTGGTTGGTTTGAACTGCTGACCTTGTGGTTCGAAGTCCAGCGCTGACCCTACAGGGCCATACTAATTTTTCTTATAGCTCAATCAATTCCTCGTTTGAAAGTGCTCCCTCTTTGTAACCTATCAAATCATTCACATCATTGGCATCAACCTCTAACTCAAGGGATTTTGTTAGCAACAAAATTTTACCATTTAATTCAGCCAGCTTTTCATTTTGGTCAAAACCTTCAAAGTTGTTAACAAATGCAGAGAAATGTTTCAAGCATTTTTTCCAAATCCCTTGCATACATTTTACACTGAGATTGTCCCATGCTGCTGCAATATTTTCGATGCAATGGAGAATATTGTAGTCTTTCCAAAACTCTCTCAATGCCACTTTACCATCCTTCATTGTGGCTATAGCTCTGGCAAACAATGACCATAAATAGTGAGCCTTGAAAATAGAAATGGCCCCTTGGTCCATAGGTTGTAGAACAGAGGTAGTGTTTGTTGGTAGATAAACCACCTTTACATTGAGATGGAGATCATCTAGATGCAGGCAGTGTCCAGGTGTGTTGTCAAGGAGCAAGAGAATCTTAAAAGGAATTCCCTTTAGCACACAATAATCCTTTACCTGGGGTATGAAACAGTTGAAAAACCAATCCTCGAAGAGGGCTTGCGTCATCCAAGCCCTCCAATTGGATCGATAATAAACGGGCAATAAGTGCTTGGCTATTTGCTTGAATGCACGTGGATTATCTGCTTTATAAATCATAAATGGCTTCAGCTTGAAGCCAGCAACATTTCCACCTAATAACAAGGTCACTCTATCTTTATATGTCTTAAATCCAGGCATTGCTTTGGCCTCTTTATAAATATAAGTCCGTTCTGGCATTTTCTTCCAATATAATCTGGTCTCATTCACATTAAATATTTGTTCAGGCAGATAGTTTCCTTCCGAGATAATATTGTCAAGTTCATTTAAAAAGAGTTTGGCAGCTTCTCCATCAACACCAGCAGCTTCACCTTTTACATGTGTGCTGTAATTGAATCGTCTCTGGAATCTCAAAAACCAGCCATGGCTAGCAGCAAAAGTCTCATTGCATTCCTTACCTGCACGCTCTTTAAGCCTATCAAAAATGCTGCGTGCTTTAGCCTGAATTTTAAAAAGGCTAATTGGCATTCTCTTTTGTATTTGATCCTTGATCCAAAGTATTAGGAGTTTTTCAGTTTCATGTATTAGGCCTTTTCTTCGTCTTGTTATCACAGCATTCATACCTGATGATTCTTTCACTGCCTCGATGATTCTCTGTTTATCCTTGAGAATGCTACACACAGTAGAATGTGCCAGGCCATGTTCACGTGCTGTAACATTCACTCTCTTCCCTGACTCATAGGCTTTTATGATGTTCATTTTTGTATTAAGATTGATGGCATTCCTATGCCTCTTGCTGCTTTCATTTAAACTAGTACTTTTCTTTCTTTTTGAAGACATCTTGCTATGGGGTGAAAATCTACACAAGTGATCAAAAATAAAGGCAGGTCTTAAGAACTTTTATTGTAATGGCTAATAATGCACACTGAGAGGAAAAACAATGTCAGTGAATTGTGTTGCTGCTTAAATATATTGAAACCTATTTTTGTATGTTGCTGTAGAAACACTTACCTTTCAGAAACCAACTCAACATGATCCAGTGACAAATTAACCTGCTCATTTGCTTTTTCTGAAGGCTTGGCATGTTCATCATCCACAGAAGTCATTTCTTCATTTGGACCCTCAAGTGACTCTTGATCCCTATCCAAATTCATGGTCTCAGAATTTGCATCCTGTTAAATAGTTAAGAAAAAAGCAAATTGAAGAAAGGGCTACCAATAGTGTTTTTTATACAAAATTAAAAATAGTTAAAATTTCACATTTAACTTATTCTAGCATATATACCATAAAGCATACATTAAATTAGGGCTGTGCATTAACTTCCATAATACATTCTGTGAAATAGGACGGTATGTGATTTGGACGCTATGAGAACACCTTATTATATACTTTGCAAAGCTCTACAGGATACTGTACCTCTACAGGCTAAATAGCCAAGATACTGTACACATACAGTACTGCATTTCAGTTATCTTGCAAGGTAATATATGGGTTGAGTATTTTAGCACTGTACAATACTACAATTTGTTTACCTAAGGTTTCAACAAATCCTGCTGCTGCTTTCTTAGCAGCACTTGCACACTCACCACTCACTTGCATGTTATGCAGAGAAAACCATTCTTTAAGTGCTTGAACCACGCAGAGCTAGCACGAAACTCAACATTGTAGTCAGGTCCTGCTTTTTCTTTCAGCATTATCGAATAAATTACATGCCTTAGTAGTGATCTTCAATGTGCTGAGAGGGATTCGCTTTTGTTTGGTCTTCAGTCCATACCATCAGCAATTTCTCCATATCAGATATAAGTCCTTCTCGCATTTTCGTTCGCCTTGTTTTCAGTGGAGCTGATCCTTTAACAGCATAGAGAATTTTTCCTTTGTTTTTGAGGATCGTGGTGGTTGTTGAGTTTGTCCTGCCTAAATTATGAGCAATAGCATTCACTGATTTTTCACCTTCGTGTTGAATAATAACATTGTGTTTCACTTCCAAACTGATCCTTCTCTTTTGCCTTTTGCTGCTGCCAGCACTAGCACTACTTTTGCTGTGCTTGGGAGCCATGAAGAACAACACAGTATTATTTTTGAAAGAAAGTTAAACAGAGAAATAACGGGACAATACTAAAGAGACACGAGATATACAAGATTTGATGCTGCTGCCTATTAGTTGAAACATACATTGTTATGCAGTAAACTTTTTATTTATACACACGGAAAATTCACATTAAAGTAACAATAGAAAGTACAGTATAGTACATACATAAGTCAATAACATAGGTATTTATTATGACCCTCATGATGTATTACACAAGGTTATATATGCACTGTACCATTAGATCCCTGGCAGCATAATTGTTGTGCACATAACAAACATAAGGTACATGTATAGTGTGCAGGAAGCAGTTGCATTCTCTACATCAAATTACATCCCAATTCTTCAATTAGGATTTTGAACTCTATTATAATCCTTAAGGGATGAGGGATGAATATGAAGTTGAATGTTGCCTGAACAGATGTTAAATGGTTCATGACTGTATATGTATTTTAATGGTTGATGACTATGATCACAGTTTGTCTACCAAAGCCAAAAACAAAAAAAAAAACAAAAAAACCCCACAAAATAAAATAAAAACACTTCAAAGAAATAAAAACAACAGAGGTGAAAAATCAACTTTCTAGCTTGGATGAAAAGAAGAAAACCAAGCACCTGATAATAAATGTAAGAGGCCCAGATGACACAAGTCAGCACTTGGCTGCTAACTAAAGGGGGGCAACGTGAACCTGCAGTGGTTCCATGGGACAAAGACTTGAGACCTGATTTCCACAGATTACAGACTAGAAAATCCTACAGGGCAGTTCTATCTGTCACATGGGGTCCTTATGAGTCTAAAATTGACTCTATATTAATAGGTGTACTTATAAGGTATAAGTTAGAATCAACTTCATGGCAGAAGTGACTACTTACTTTGATAAAATTGAGATCTTTGAGACAGTTTAATTCTATTAGACTAAGGTTTAGAAATGAATAAACAGTAGTTTTAGCAAAACCTCTTTTTACTTTTGCTATACAGATGATTCTTGTACGTATATTTGTGTCTATAATGCCACCAAGAGCACTGAGTTAGAAAATACCGAACTCTAGGGAGAGATAACCTTGTGTGGTGCTGCGGGTTAACGCACTGGACTGCAAGGTTGGTTTGAACTTGCAAAGTCAGCAGTTCAAGCTCACCAGCCACTCCTAGGAAACCCTATATAAGGTTGCTATGAGTTAGAATCAACTCAATGGCACTTAACAATAATAGGGACAGATACAGGAGTCCTTTCCTTCAAGTCTCTGGAACCATTTTGTCAAGTGATCAATAGTAAAACGTGTTTTCCTGTTAAATTTATTTTATAAATATTATTGATTTCCTAACATTGAATTCAAGGTTCATTGAACTCAAGTACTGTTATTCATGCTTGAATGAAGCTTATCAAACATGTATTTTCCCTGTAAGACACATCATATCCTTGTGCTTAGAAATACTATGTGGTACTTTAGCATTATGTTTTGGGGACATTTTAAACAGGAAGATTATCAACAAAAAGCACAAAAATGAGAAAAATATGGCACCACTAAATAGTCCCAGTGTGGTGCTGTAGGATAAGCACTGGACTGCTAACCAAGAGAATGGAAGCTCAGACCCATTAGCTACTCCTAGGAAACCCTATACAGCATTTAACAACAAAGGTATCACTGAAATAGAGTTGAAGCAATAAGGCAGAGCCTTGTTTGACATCAGCTGGGAACGTGCCACTCTATGTTTTGTTGAGAGGAGTACAAATAAAACACAGTTTCCTACCAATTCAAACAAGCTCGCCACCAAAGTAGAAAAAAAAAAAAAAAATCAGTTCTATGAGGGAAAGTCATAAACTATTGCTATTAGGATTCTAATTCATACATCACAAGTTTATTGCAAACAAAACACATTTAAACATGTCTCTGTGAACAGTGGACAGCTGCAGACAAGTTCTCTCAAGTAATATACTTAAGCTGTAGTTAGTAGTGGTGGTGGTTATGTGCCGTGGAGTCGGTTCTGACTCATAGCGACCCTGTACAGGATTTCCAAGGCTGTAAGTCTTTACAGGAGCAGAAAGCCTCATTCATCTTTCTCCTGGGGAACTGCTGGTAGTTTTGAACTGCTGACCCTGAGGGTAGCAGCCCGATTCGTAACCACTAGGCTACCAGAGCTCATAATGACCCTACATAGGGTTTCCAAGGCTTTAAATCTTCACAGGAACAGAAAGCCTCATCTTTCTCCCATGGAGTAGCTGTCGAGCCTGACCCATGGGACCTTGTAGTTCACAGTCCAGTGCTTATCGTTCTTGGGATGCCAATAGGTCCAACCTAAACAGTGGTTTACAAAGGGATCTTCTGGACCAATTAAATTCAAGGTAGAGAGGTCAGCTCAGAAGGTTATAGTGATTGCTTTTTGGGATTCCAAAGGAGTCCTGATAGATCTTCTTGAAGGATACAGGATGATCACAGGGGCTTATTAAGTTTTATGAATATTGAAAACATCAGAGCACAACAATGTACTCGCTCATTCTTCTAAGGTAGCAGGAGCTACCTTACACCATTGTTGGGAAACCTTACACCATTCAACTCTAGCCATTATCTTGCCCTTTTTAGGCTGCTTTTGTTCCCCAAACTCAAAGAACATTGAAAAGGAACAAGAGTTGAGTCCCGTGAGAATGCCAAAACTATTTTGATGTGGTATAAACTGACAAAATCAGAATTCTTCGGAGAAGGGTTACAGATGGAAAAACTGCTGTCAAAAGTGTATACAACTGGGGAGAAGATGGAGGCAGAGACGATGGCGTGGAGAGATGGAGCAGCTGGGGGCTGTAGACCCAGAGAAGAAGATCAGCTATGTGCTTATGACCAGGGGGCAGGCTTGTAGGGTATACCCTTTGGTTGGTTGATGATGCATGGAGGGGACTGTAACCATGGCAATGAAACAATGTACGACAGGATGAATGTAAAGCTAATGTTCTCCCATGTAAACTATCACATAATTCACAATAAAACATTAAAAAAAAAGTGTATGCAACTGGATGAAGGATGTGCCGAGAAAAAAATACCTTCACATTTTGACAGTTTGGTTTTGCGATACTTTGCGATGTGTCAGCTTATTACTTGGTAAACTTTCACTCAGAATGTGATACACATCACAGGCCATCTACTAAAGACATTGCCAAGACAGATCCTTTCACAGAGCCAGGCAAATGCAAGCCATTTTATACTTTCCAAGATAAATGGTAACTTGAGTAAGAGGACTTGACGGTATCATTTCCCATACTTACACTAAACACTAAATCCACTGCCATCCAGTTGATTCTAACTTGTAGTGAGCCTACTCCACCCATCCAGTACCACTGAATCAATTATAATAGCCACGTGATAGGACAGAATGGAACTGCCCCATAGGGTGTCCAAGGCTATAAAACTTTACAGAAGCAGGCTGCCATATTTTTATCCTGCAGAGCAAATGGAGTAATCAAACCACTGACCTGTGTTGAACCACTGCACCACCAGGGCTCCTTAGCAACTCTATGTTGTTGTTAAGTGCTGTCAAATCAGTTCTGACTCATAGTGACCCTGTCGAGGGTTTCTGAGGATCAGCTGGTGAGTTTAAGCTGCTGACCTTGAGGTCCAATGCATTATCCTGCAGCACCACACCAGGACTCCCTAGAAACCCTATGTTGTTAAGTACTGTCGAGTCGGTTCCGACCCATAGCGACTTCCGAGGAGCAGCTGGTGAGCTTGAACCTCCAACCTTGCAGTTCAAATGGCAAACCCTATAGTTCATTCTAAATCTACCTTGCAATTAGGCAAGCCACCAGCGTTTGTTAATCGTCTTTATTCAAAGTTAAAAATAAATTTTTCTTATCTTTACAACCAGAAGTAGGTTTGCAATTTGGGATCAAGTGCCAGATGAAACCAGGCCCCATCCTTCCAATAACCTGGGAGCTAAGGGTACTACTATCTTACTAGACTGAATGTATTTCAGAGATGGCTTCCAGGTCCTTGAAGAAACATTTCTAGGTTGTAAAATTGCCAAGAGACTATTTTGCTCTTAAAAAAAGATTTACATGTGTTTCAAAGAAGCACAGAAAGAGCTTCCATACTTAATAA